TGCTATCTTAATACAATATTCATAACACATTAAACGGGCAGGATTATTTTCAAATATACCGAAACGTGTTTAATCAGCTTCACATTTGTTTTTGCTAATCTTTGATTACATTTTGTTCGTGATGGACACATGTAATAGTACCTGGGTCTGTACATTCTTCTTTCCTCAGAAAGAGGAACTAAGAGGAAATATTATTCATCTTTAATTGTGTTGTTATTATGTTTATTACTCTTTAACCTTAACCCACTTTGTCATTGTAACAGTTTATTTACAGCTTAATGTACTTTATATTCGGGTAAGGTCTGCATTTGGGCATAGCTCCATAATGTATTTCTCTGGATCAAGTATTAACTTGGATGTAGAATAACGGTTTAGAAATGAAGCAACATTTTTCGCATGGCAATTCTGAATCTTTATGTCTTTACAACTTTGTTTACAACACTGTATATAACTTTAATATATTGCTGCAATCCTGTGGATCCAAACGTATGTAAATCAGTTTCTAAACACAGTACACGAACATGCGTTGTATTACCATAGGTGGCTGCCGTATTCATCCTGTGATTTCAGCGTATTATAACATGATGTGGGATATGATAACTATCCATATACAACAGTCTGTATCAATACTCCATAAAGCGACTAAAACATTAACACACCAGTATTCTCTACCCACTTTACCAAGTTCAGCATTGGTAGATACCTTTTTTATTAACGCATAAGTATATACACAAACGACCTAGTTAAGAAGCCCCTGACATATCTCTGACTGAATGAGTCCCGATTGTAAAACATTGAAGCATGTCTGGGACACGGTTTGTCGTCGTGTGCAGCAAAGGGATACACCTGTAAAGAACCTGGCCCAATTGGAAACTGCTTTACACGAGGAATGGCGTAGATTGCCCCTTCAGAGGATCAGGAGGCTGACAGGTGGTTTGAGCAGGAGAGTGCTGGCTGTCACATGGAGGTTACACTCGGTACTGACCTTGAATCGTGTAAGACACGCAAAATGACATTTCGAATTTTCACATTCGCCAATAAATTCAACATTAACATTCGATGGGCCATACTTGTACTCACATGGTATTGTATGATAATCAGTGGGTTTTGTTTTTTTTGTAAATGAGCATTTATCATCATAAAATCAACCTGGATTCCAATCATTTTGTCGTTTTTTGTGAGTCAAAGGATCCTACGGTCAGACAACTCATATTTTTCCATCGTGGTCACCACAAGAGGTTTATGTACGCGTTGAAAACCTATCACTGTAAACTTACAGAGGGTGCTTAATTAAGTTCTTTGTGTATAGTTTAAACTGGGCCTTTTACCCCATAGTCCCCATCCATATAACAATACGTAAGCTATTTTATCGATGTTACATTAAGAGAATTATTTGGATAATCCTTCATTACGATAAGAGTGAGTATGGTTTTACGCCGCTTTTAGCAATATTCCAGCAATATCGCGGCGGGGGACACCAGAAATGGGTTTCACGCGTTGTACCCATGTGGGGAAGCGAACCCGGGTCTCCAGCGTGACGAGCGAACGCTTTAACCATTAGGCTATCCCACCGCCCCATTAAGGTAAGAATAGGAAATGAAGCCATTGTGGCATGCAGTGCAAATGTTTCACACGCTTTTGACCAAATTCATCTCGATGTGAGCACAAATCCTGAATATTTGGAGCCGGATACGATTTGCATCTGTTTACCATCATCAGTCCATTTTCCTGTATTTCTCAGGTCTCCACCATTTCTAAAATAGCAATACATGATTCTCTAGGTTAACGTCTTAACCCCATGTATTACAACAGCATTTTTAACGTGTCACGTTTTCTCTGTAGGCCTACCACAGTGTCATCAATCAATGTTGCATCATCTGCACAAAGAGCAGCATGATATCAGTCAGTTCATCTCTGACAAAGCTCTCAGTCTAAATTTCTTCATATTGCATCATGAAACTAATTAGATTATGGTGACGGAAGTCTTGCTTGGCTGGTATTGCAGATAGACCCAAAACTGCGCTGTAGGTTTCACCGAGTGATAAGCAACAATACATTTGTCCCTGTACCACTATCTCACGGAGACAAATGCTTTACCTGAACTGTAAAGGTCCAGTTGTTACCCTTGCAGAACACGTCTTGAATTCCGTTACTCGATCGTGGCTATAACGAGTTACCTCCCTTCTATGTCCCTCAATTGACCAATCACAGACATACTCTGCAACTGACCAAAATCTGGACAGCAGTCTCCACGTTGATTGAAACGGGACGTCGATTTCCCCATTTTCCATGTTCAAGGATGTCGCAAATGTGCCTTCTTAAATGTTTGATATAATAATAATAATAATGAAGTCTTATAATGCGCTAATCTCCACGCAACAAAGTATGCTCGAAGCGCTAACACAAACATATGTACATCATGATGAAAAGTCTAATTCTCGAACAAATGAGTCTTGAGGCTTTGCTTTAAATGCATCAAGTGTTGGGACGGTCCTGAGGTTTAATGGCAGACAATTCCATTCGCGTGCAGCAGCAATTTAGAATGATCGTGATCAAACGTTTTCATACGGTATGGCAGCAATTGAAGCTGTAGTTGATGAGCAGATCTGAGATCTCTTACAGGTTCATACACAGCAATGAGATCGTTGAGATAGCCGGGAGCTTGATGATGGATAGTTTTGTAAATGAGGGTCAACAGTTTGAAATCCACTCTTTTCGTTATTTGAATCTAGTGTAGTGATCTCAATACTGGTGATATGTGAGATTTCGAGCTGGTTCTTGTGACGATTCTTGCGGCAGTGTTTTGAATTTTTTGCAGTTTATATATAGTTTCTTTGGAACATCCAACGAGGAGACTATTGCAGTAGTCCAATCTCGAAAATATGAGAGCTCTCACAAGAGCTGATGTGGCGTCAACAGTCAATAGGTGGCGAATGGAGCCAATATTCCTTAAATGGAAATAACAGATACGACAAACATAGTTGATGTGATATATACAGTTTTAAATACTATCATTCACAGCAACCGTGTACTGTTGACACATGCTATGATGCTTCCTATAATTAGGCTATAACAGAGAAAGTCCAAGTAAACCAAGCGTCCAAAATAACGTATTTTGCCGTGCAGATTCTCGTCCCTTTATGAGACGTTATGGCCCTGGGTTGTCACATTGATTATCGGATAATGTTCTTAGCACCATACGACCTGTGAAGATCCGGGTTAGAATTGACCTTCAGTAACCCGTGCTTGTGGTAAGAGGCGACTAACGGGTCGGGTGGTCAGGCTCATTGACTTGGTTGACACACGTCATGGGTTTCCCAATTGCGGAGATCGATGCTCATGCTGTTGATCACTGAATTGTTTGGTCAGACTCGATTATTTACACCGCCGCCATACAGCTGGAATATTGCTGAGTGCGGCGTAAATAAACTCACTCCTGATCACCATACATGTGCCCGCCGAAAGTTTAGAGGGCGGTGGAGTTCTCTTGGGGTTATTAAGCGTTCGTTCGTCAAGCCAAAGACCCCGGTTCTATCCCCCACATGGGTACAATGTGTGAAGCTAATTTCTGGTATTCACCTCCGTGACATTGCTGGAATATTGCTAAAACGGTGTAAATCAGACTCACGCATTCGCTGGTTTCATCAAGATGGTAAAGATATAACACCTTGCATCACTTCAACCACAAGATCACACCTCCATCATCACCTGTCCTCCCACATCAAGCAGCCGTGATAGAACTGAAATACTGTGCAAGGCGATGTTAAACTATATACACTCCTTTAGCAGATGTTCACGGAATGGCCATTGCAATACAGGAAACATGACGGCATGACACTGTACACGAAGCCAGCATCCGACACAATTTGTGTTGGGGTTTTCAACGCGAGTTCACAAGTCTTTGAGGCAAGATTGTAGTTAAATCCATAGCAGTTTTTTTCACGATAGCACTTGTTGCTACAGTAGCTAAGAGTTGAATCATTGACGATTCTCTTGTCGGTTGAGTCGACAACTAAGTACATCCCGTTGACGATGTCCACAGATGTGCTGAAGCATTTTGTGGTATCTGTAAAAGAAAAATTCATAAAGAAGACGCCCACTGCAAATGGTCGAATAGTTTGTATATTTACCACTATAGTTTGTTTAGCATGCGCTTTCTATGGCATAAGTCGGCAAGCGGCTTCTATGGCATAAGTCGGCATGCGGCTTCTATGGCATAAGTCGGCATGCGGCTTCTATGGCATAAGTCGGCATGCGGCTTCTATGGCATAAGTCGGCATGCGTTTCTATGACCCAAAATGAGGAATGAAATATCCCAGTACACAAAGACTGATTATGCTTTTACTCACTTTTAGGATGATAGTGTATTGACAAACAAGCCTGTTTCACTGCCAAGGATTTTGTTCCTATCTTACAATACATCCGCTGAACGAATGAGTGAGTGAGTTTAGTTTTACGCCGCACTCAGCAATATTCCAGCTATATGGCAGCGGTCTGTAAATAATCGAGTCTGAACCAGACAATACAGTGATCAACAGCAGCCTGACCACCCGATCCCATTAGTCGCCTTTTACGACAAGCATGGGTTAGTGAAGATCAATATTCTAACCCGGACCTTCACGGGTTCTGCTGAAGGAAAATCAAACCAATTCAATTTGTGTTTACGGGTTTGACTTTTGACAAATATATACCATTTCAGAGCGAAGTGTTTGGTGTACTTCGAAGCTATTTATATCTGCACACTGGTTCAGTTCAGTGTCGGGCTTTTGCGTTTTGTTCATCTGTCCATCAGTGATTTGTTGTCAGACCACACAACTGAAGCCGACCCGGCTGCGGCTTAAAACAACACCAGCTCACCTCTGCTACAGACATCCCCGCTGATCTGAACTTCGCACAACGTGAGAATTTCCGTGAAAATTGGTAAATAGTGGATCTTGACGAATCTGGCAACTATTGGCTGATCACGGGGCAGAGTGTCCATGGCCCCTAAGTTCCCGTCTTCTCCGTGCAGGGTATGATGTCCGCTGAAGGATTCTGTTGGGGTCTTCTCTAGAACGCCACGATAGCAAGGTCTCTGAGACGATATTCTGATGGAAACAGAAATGACAGACACGTTTGACAACATAGCTTTTGGGCGGTATATGAATAAGCTAAAGAACCCAATTCTACCGTATTTAATCGGTCGTGCCATGTACTGCTATGGTATGTAAACAAAGTCATTTCATTTCAAATCGTTACATATGGCTGCTGAGACCGAACAGCATCAGGGCTTATTGTTGTGACAGAAACACAGGGTATTGTACATAACCGGCACAAAAAAGTGAAACGTTATGTCTAACGGTTAAAATAAGGTAATTGTTTTCCAACACGGGACTAAACTATCAAAACGGAAAAATGGTTATATAATGCAAAACATTGGATGTTGTTACTAAATACATATCTCTTTGTCTATTAAACTGCCATGCAATTTCCACTCAACACAAAGTGCCATCAGGCAAAGAAGATTTTCTTTGGCATTCTAAACAATCTGGGGCGGTGGGGTAGCCTAGTGGTTAAAGCGTTGGCTCGTCACGCCGAAGACCGGGTTCGAATCCCCACATGGGTACAATGTGTGAAGCCCGTTTCTGGTGTCCCCGCCGTGATGTTGCTGGAATATTGCTAAAAGCGGCGTAAAACCAAAACTCAGTCCAGTCATTCTAAACAATCTCATAAACATGTGATTTAAGCGCTGACTTAATTGTAAGCTCTTCGATACAAAATAAATCTCAATTCGCCGAATTGGGTAGAATTTCCTTTATTTGTATACGCATAGGTTAAAGTACTGGGTAAAATTATTACATATAAAGATATCAATAATGGAACGTTGTGACATGATGCTTTAATAAAGCGGCAGGATAAACTGAGACCCATATGTGAAGTAAAGTCTAAATGAACTGGGCTTGGGCTATGCATGGTCTGAAGGTAGAACACCATGAACATATACTGACATGGTCATTCAAAGATATATATATGTATAGATACAAACATAGAACTTGGTACTTATATAATCACCCAAATGGTAATTTTTGTAATGTTTAAAACTCAAATACAAAATTAAGAGTATCTTTTAAAACCGCATTGCAAATCTTTAGAATATCACGTTAAGACCCCGCGAGTGACTCTATACACCTTGATGCCAGTGACCACATATACCTCTTTGTCAGCGTTTTGTTTGTTACATGCACCTCTGACCTGAGCAACAGAGAATCTAAAACTATTTTCGCAATCGACATTGTAAAAAGTAAAAACACCGTGGGAATACACTTCATCGCTTCAGGAAAAACAATTCTTATTCAATATTTCCGTCTATGTAAAAATTGCGATTTATTTCGTTGACTGATTATCTATCGATAATCCACACAGAACGATCATGCAGGGGTCAACGCGTGCAAAGTATTCCTACGCGATATGAAGTAGCTCTAAAATGAGAAGGGATTATCGATGATTAACCAATATACATTAGTAAAATTTACCAATCAAATTATCCGTCAATGTCGTGGTATATTTTATATTTCCTGTACGCATACATGTCACATCAAGAGAACAGAGCTGTATTGTCGACCCTTATCAGTTAGCGTGCTGTTGGGGCGGTGGGGTAGCCTGGGGTAGCCTAGTGGTTAAAGCGTTGGCTCGTCACGGTGAAGACCCGGGTTCGAATCCCCACATGGGCACAATGTGTGAAGCCCATTTCTGGTGTCCCCCGCCGTGAAGTTGCTGGAATATTGCTAAAAGCGGCGTAAAACCAAACTCAGTCAGTCAGTTAGTAGTGTGCTATTACTTTACATTGTTGTTTAAAGCCGCACTCAGCAGTATTCAGCTATTTGAGGGTGGCCTGTAAATAATAGAATCTGGATCAGACAATCATGAGCCTACTATGCGTCAACCAAGTGAGCAGCCGTTAGTTGCCTCTTACGACAAGCATAGAACAAATCTAACCCAGATCTTCACGGGTGGTAATTTGGTGGTAACAGAGTTCCTCCACGTATGTATGGATAGAATGTGGGATAGCAGGTGTCTCACGTCGTCATATTGGAGAATATTTCTAAAGGGGCTGTAAAATTATATTAACTCATTAACTATACGGTAATGGTTTGAACACAAATGTACAATGGTTGAAAAACAGCACGGTTCATTGTTCTCTAACTCAGTCAGTGTAATGAAAGCATGGACATCATGTAAACTGTCGTGCAAATGTTTGTTTGATGGCGGCTGAAAATGATGTTGACACGGGTATGGTGGCGATAAATTTTGGGACTCGAACTCAGAATAACAGGTATTTAATATGTGTATAGTAGTTTCGCGATGGTATTACCCTAGTGATATAGTCAGAAAAACCGTTTTCATTAATCCTTCAGTTTATGAACGTAAGATCTTCGAAACAGATTTTCGAAAAACACAAACGTTACATTTGAAATCTCGAACTCAAAGGATGATACTTTTTGTACCCAGCGAAATGTATAGAATAGAGGAATGAAAGACCGGTCTCAATTATCTAGTGTAATACTATCAATATTGATGTGAGTTTGGGTTTAACGCCGCCTTGAACACTGTTTCACATTATATAACGGCAGGTCGTGGAAAGTGACGTCACTGAAAAGACACAATTACAGGTGTGGTGATGACAGGTGCGTTAATTAAGTGAGGGGTTTTCTTTTGATGTTTTTATGTTTCTTTCATTTTTCCTTAGTTTGCCTGCAGCCTGCTTGTGGGTTTTACTAAAACAGTGAATGGCTGAGTTGTACGTGACGTTAAGTAACTGAAATTATCTCTTTTCACACAGCTGTATATTGAACCTACGAAACCCATCGCTTCGTCCCTGTATGGTGACGCTTGTTATTCTGTAGTTCCCCTGGAGGTCTACCATCCACCATGGCGATGCCACAGAGCTTGTGAAGCAGCTGCTGTGACTGCGCACAGCGTCGAGGTTACCGTCTACGGCGTGGGAGGAAGATGATTTTCCGTCATAGTCGGTGCTGCTGTAAGTTGGCTTGTTCACTGCGATGTTACACCAACCAGCTGGAAATGTGATGGACATACATGTAATCGGTTCCTACTGTTCAATTGGCACTCTTTAGGTGGCATACATTAGTTCGTTTAAGAACCTAAAATGCAGCTAAATTATATTTTCTAATCCGAAATTGTACTCTTTGACTTTACCAATTTTCAGGAAATCAGGAACGTCATTGTGTCATGGTTTGCATTTAGTGGAAATGTGAATTTAGATTATTATTGGTCTTCTTCTTGGGAACACATCATATCATGTGGTGTTGTTTGTTGTATAAGGTACCTATAAAAAAAAAGTATTGTCGGAAATAGACAAAAAACTGTTTTTAGGCTGTTACTCTGTATCCCTAAAATTTACACAATTGCAAATAGCATATGTCGATCAGTGGGATGCGTAAAAGGATATCCAGAAAAGCATGTTTACTCATAAAATCGGGCAAAACTTACCAATAGCTGCTGGAAACAATAGATCAGACTATATAGATGGCAATTAGGTCGCTCAGCCAGGTATGACGACCGACCGTCGACTCACCTGGCATGAAATGCACGTGCTGCCTACAGGCACAAGGGGTCATCTCAAAGATATTATGTGCTTTTTCATGTGTGTTGACTATGTCTCATCTACTGATTAACATCTTACGTGTCTTTCTTTCTTAAAGTTTATGTTGAGATATGTAAGAGAGTATGATACCCGAAAACCATAGAAATGCATCGTAGTATATAGGTGGCATGACCACCCGAAGATCGACAGGACTGGATATTATTTGTAAATTGTTATGACGTGCTGTGTACCTCCCCAGTAAAATTGCCCTAAAGGATTATCTTATCTTAGCTGATATCGCTTTCCCCAAGCCCGACCCCAGGTTTTGCTTTTAAGGCGAACCCTCCTATCTGTTTCTTTTTATAGTGACGGTGAGAATGCATGGTAGCTACATCCTTAATAGTTTCGGCATAAAAGTTATTATTTTTTACCTCAGCTATCGTTTATAATGAATCTACGTCTAATTTCAAATTGGGCATTTAAAAAGTGTCCTTTGTAATACAATATCGTCGCACACTAATTTGCATAAAGCCATGGTCTGTTCCAAATAAGTCTTTTTGGACTTAGAACCAAACCGCATTGCTCATTTCTGCACTATTTTCCCCTCAGTAAAGTCCTTTTTCTCCGTTTCCTATCTCTCTACCACTGAGACTGTAGTTAGGCCGAACTCAGTTTAACAGATATTTCACACTCTCACATATCAACTACATAAATTGTAGAGATAAATGAGAAAATACAGTTTTTTTCTATTTCCGACAGTCCTTTTTTTTGTTTAGTTGAGTTCGTACGCATGAATCCTTTATGGCGTGCAATGTACAACATGGCTTTGTTAAGTAGGAAGTAATTGATTGACACATGAGACTGCATACACGTGAAATGTGATGGTTCGACGGACATGGTTAACATTACAGTTTGATTGATAGTGTGAAATAGATTCCTCCATGTGACATGAAAACAAGGTTGGTTGGGTAGTATTGATATCGAGACACATGAACTCTTGAATTGTTTACAAAACGACTTCATGCAGCTTAAGTATTGTTAAGTATTGCGTGACACAAACATAATTTTAATCAATCATCTCTTGTAGTACTGAAAGCCATTAGAAACGCATCACCCATTCTGATGATATACGTTTTACTGACGTGAATGGTTCGAACCCAAGCTGTTGTATGAATCAACTAACCATGTCACTGAAAAGCATGCAAAGTGAGAGCAGCATGCATGCAGGTGCGGTCACGTGACATATGATGATCACATAACCACGAATTGTCATGTAGAGCATGGACAGATGAACCAACTGATCCGAAATTCAAGCAGGGTTAAAGTTTGACAATTTTCACGTAAGAATCACATGGTTTTTGGTCTTTAGTTCCATTGCTGAATTTGTAACGATGCCTCGATTATCGGCTGTTCAGAGAGAGCGAGCAGTGGGTTTGCTTAATGCTGGATTATCCACCCGTGCAGTGGCCGCACAGTTCAACTGTCACATGTCGACAATTGTTAGACTCTCCCAGCGTCTTCAACAAACAGGCAGCACACGTGACCGTCAACGTCCGGGACAACCACGCGTCACAACCCCATATCAAGACCACTACATCCAGGTCACCCATTTGAGAAACCGGTTCCAGCCAGCAGCAAGGACAGCTTCAGCAATCCGTGGGAGAAGGGGAAGAATCAGTCCTCAAGCTGTGAGACGTCGTTTACGTGAGAGAGGGCTCCGTGCACGTCGACCTCATGTTGGTCCAATTCTGACACGTCGACTTCGTCGTCGCTTGGTGTAGACATCATCGCAGATGGACACACAGAGAGTGGACAGGAGTCCTGTTTACCGACGAATCCAGATTGCACCTCAGTCACGCTGATGGACGTTGGCGTGTGTGTGGCGTAGACGCGGTGAGCGTTACATAATTTAACCCTCAGGATTTCTTCAGGGGGGGTCATCTTTTCTCTCAGGAGGAGGTGTGTGTCTGTTATTGATGCTGATGGTGGACACACGCGATACTGACGTTGTCTTCCTTCCTGTTGTTTACCTGTGTGAACTTTTGATTTGACCCCGTCTCTGTTTAACCCACGTTGCCTTGGTCAATAAATGCAGTGCAACTTCATACCGCATTTCATTCTCTTCTTCAATGGTCACTTATCACATCGTTCTCTAAAAAACTCTTGGATGCCAAAACGCACCTAAAACATATGCTAATCTATCAGTGATGCGTTTCTAATGGCTTTCAGTATATATTAATTCCACTGTAAGTGTGTCAGAGTTCATGTGTCTCGATATCAATACTGAGCCCCAACCACCCTTGTTTTCATGAGGTGAGGTGAGGTGAAATTGGGTTTTTACGTCGTGCTTGAGAATATTTCGCTCATATGACGTGTGTATGTGCGACTGCTTGTACTAGCCCAGACTTAAGCTGGTTTTATAGTGCTAGCCCACTGAGAACCATACCGCAGTGTAGCATGAATACCCCACTCAGACACATTATACTGATTCCGAGCCGACCAGTCCTTGTTGTACCCATTAATGCCGAGCGCCAGGCAGGGACCAACAAGTACCATATTTTAACGTCTTTTGGTATGACGCGGTCGGGGATCGAACCCACGACCTACCGCTCTCCGGGCGGACGCTCTAACCGTTACACCACGGAGGCTGTCCTTGTTTTCATGTCACATGGAGGAATCTTTTTCACACTATCAATCATCAGAATGGGTGATGCGTTTCTAATGGCTTTCAGTACTACAAGAGATGATTGATTAAAATTATGTTTGTGTCACGCAATACTTAACAATACTTAAGCTGCATGAAGTCGTTTTGTAAACAATTCAAGAGTTCATGTGTCTCGATATCAATACTACCCAACCAACCTTGTTTTCATGTCACATGGAGGAATCTATTTCACACTATCAATCAAACTGTAATGTTAACCATGTCCGTCGAACCATCACATTTCACGTGTATGCAGTCTCATGTGTCAATCAATTACTTCCTACTTAACGAAGCCATGTTGTACATTGCACGCCATAAAGGATTCATGCGTACGAACATGGTACAGCAATAGGCACTAGTATGTTTGGTTGGACCTTGACATCGTATAAATCCCTGTCCGCTTACTATGGATTAGTTTGATTTAAGAACTAAGGGATACTGCCATTTCGGTTCGCACATTTACAGCAGTGTGACCACTCATAAAGAGCTACCTCCTCCTGGTGTGTGTTGGGTAACCCTAATAGCCGGCATCAAAGTGGCAGTGTCTCAAAAGGATCCAATAACAAAATCCAACATGCTCATCCTTAGAAGGGCACATTGGTAGATTCCCAATAAACCTCCGTTTCTTCACATATTATACAGTGGAATTGCAGAGGCCTGAAGACTCATCTTTATGGATAACATGTCATTGTCACGACATTAGAATCTATGTCGAAACGTCGCCCTTCACAGAATAAAAGAAGTTGTATATCCATAAAAATTGTCATCATTCCTAATCAACTCAACTTCTAAAATGCCCATCAAAGAAGATAATTTTAACTTACATCAGTTACATATTGTCAACATTTTTTCTCCTCCGGGTGATAGGGCCACTGTGGGATCGTCAATCCTAGTAATCCACAGTAATGACACTTATAAATGCGACTTACTTTGAACGGTGTGTGCATTCTGTGAACATTGCATTCACTCAGTGCTCATTGTACATTCATCCTTTATCAGCTAGTATTCAAAGTCTCTAAAATCAATTCCTCAAACCTTGTGCAATCTTGACTGATTACCTGATCACTTTAAGCCACTGTGGGTCTGGGTCCAACCAACTACAGTTGTTGAAAGTAACACACATGTTGACATCAATCTTGACTGATTACCTGATCACTTCAACCCACTCTGGGTCTGGGTCCAACCAACTACAGATGTTGAAAGTAACACACATGTTAACATCCTGGCACCGGAACTTATTCAACTCTTGCTTTGTCGATTACCTACTCAAACCGACTCAACCTCTGTGGATGTGCCCATTTTCATTCAATACTAAGATCGTTGAACCGATTTGACGTTCCCCCATCCTCATGTAATCGAATTTTATAAGGCTAACACAGTTTTCATGGGCCGTTCCCGATGCTTATAAAAAAGTTTGTGATGAACTAATTTACATAGACAAAGAGTGTATCCCAAAGTCCTCGGCAATTCAGCACATACGGAAAACATGGTTCAACGATGACTTCAAACAAGCTGGGAAGGCAAGGGAAAAGGCTGAGCATTATTTCTGTCGCCATCATATGGTCAACATTTTGAACAAATGCAAAAACTAAACACTAAAGCACTGCGTACTTTAAACAAAGTAGACGCTAATCTACGCGAAATTATGCATCACAGTTCGCTATCAAAGGTATTGAATATGATCCAGAAAATCAAAGGTGAGGGCTCTAAATCCATCATTAGCAATCTTAAAGTCAGAGACAAGTTATTGAGTAATAAACTCGATATTGCTATTAAGCTTGATGAAACTTTGGCCAAACATTCTTCCTCATCTCATTGTGTACCTCAATTCCAAAAATATCAAAATCAGCAAGAAATGAAAAGTTTTAATTTCAATTCAGTTGTTGGGGGAAGATTACAATAATATATTTTCTATTCATGAGCTACACACTGCTCTTCAACAAGTTCACGATACAGGTACAAGAGCCGGCCGATAACATTACATTATCAACTCCTGAAGCACTTACCAGAATGATGTTTAGGGCCCCGTTATTTCATTTCTGATGACATTTGGGCGTAGGGAAAATTTCCTTCTTCGTGGCTTGATGCTATAACTGTCCCACTACGTGATCACACTTTCAAATTATCGAACAAGTACACTAACAAGCTGCGTTTGCAAAACCATGGAATGCATGAACATTAATCGATGATTTGGGTAGTTGGAAACCAACAATCTCAGTTGCAATTGTAATCAGCCAATTTTATAATATTATATTAATGATTGTACGAAAACTAACGCTATTAAAATGATGCTTCGATTGATTGAAACATATTTTATTCAATTAAGAAACGGATTGGGCACAAGTTATCCAACTTAAATATGCCCTCTCCACATAGTTACAAGTGTATATTACAAAAAAGTTCAACAAGAGACAGACAAAGGGTATAGATATGTACAGACAGAGTTATTTAAATCGTTTAGTGTTATGGATGTAGATATGTACAGATTTAAAAAACATTCTGATTCTGATGATGCTTCATGGATGAAGAGTTGAAAGAGTTATTCCTGTGATGGAGAATTCAATACAGTCAAGCAGGACATGCTTGACCGTAATTCCTTCATCACAAGGGATACATAATGTAGGATCCTCGCCTTATATTAAATATCCACGAGTGCCTTTAAATGACCTTCAAATATGGACTGGCAGTGCAGGTTGGTGTAAACAACACTGGGGTATGTGACATGTAGTGTATTTATACCTACTTGGGTGTCCAATGTTTTCTGCATTAGATCTCTGATGTATAATAACCAGCCTGCAATCGGTGAATGGTATCAGAAGCAATGCCACAGATTTTGGTGAGTGCTGTCTTAGCAGCAGAATCAGCCATTGTCTTACCAGAGATTCCAACATGGCTGGGTAACCAACAGAAGATGTTAATATAGCGCTGCTTCTGCTGCAAACACGGAGCTGTTATCTAGTAATCGAGAAGATAAACGTTCTGGATCTAATGACAGTGGCACAAGTAACTGTGTCACCATCATTGGATCCATCTGTAAATAAAGATTTGTATGTATTATATTTACTTGTTAACTCCTACGAAACACCCATATGTGTTTTTCTCAAAAACATTTGACATGTCGTAACTTGAACAGAACGCAATGCAAGCGTTGTATTACGATTGGTGTTCTTCCGCGGGTTACTTTATGCGATCTGTGCCAGATAGATTTTCACTTTGAACACTGTTCAGTGAGTATGCTTTGGTTTGGTTATTATTTTGAGGAATATTACGGTAAACCGTTCTATACAGAATTGTTTTTTTAACTTTTGATGTGTGAACTCAAATCAACAGAATATGGTTCCTTTTTTTAATTAATTTTGTTTCTTAACATTTTTGCAATAATGTCAGGAATATAGTATTTCCATTTAAACTTGAATGATCCTGTGGGAGGGTAAATGTCCCCCCATTTCGTCTTGGAACAATGACGGAGGTCAGTGTGTCCTTTTTTCATTTCTTTATATCTATGTTGTTAAATCATATATGTTCACTTTCATTTCTCAAAAGATGTTTCTATGACACACCAAAATTGGGTCAGCTATTGGCATGCTATCCTATTTTGATCAGATTTAGGTTACTCACCACTCAACTTTTAATGACTCGATATGGCACATAAACTTGACATCATCTCTGCAAATTGCCAAGGCTTGAATAATGAAAAAAAGAGGATTGACGGGTTCGAAAATATGAAAAAACGAAAAGGTAACATTTATTGTATCCAGGATACACATTTTACTGAAAGCATCGAACAGAAAATCAAATTAGAATGGGGCTCTTCAGAAGCCCGGTTTAGTTCGTACACCAGTCAGTCGAGAGGAGTAGCTATCTTATTTAGAGATAACTTTGAATTTGAAATTCTCAAAGAAATAAAAGACAGTGATAGTGGCAACTTTTTGATACTTAAAATATCAACAGAGAAAGAGATATTAAGCATTACAAATGTTTATGGTCCAAATGTAGATGCACCCCACTTTTATCAGGAAATTAAAAATAAAATACTAAGTCTAGAAACTGAAACTAATATTATATGTGGTGACTTTATTCTAGTCCAACATCAATCAAAAGATACTTTCAATTATTTACATATAAATAATCCCAATTCAAAAGAAGCTGTACTTGATATGATGGATAAACTTAACCTTTATGATCGCTGGCGGGAATTAAATTTAGATGTAAAAAGATAAACTTGGAGAAAACCCAAGCCCATGAAACAAGCACGTTTAGATTTCTTTCTCGTTAGTAGAAATATGGAAAAATCTATCATTAGCTCTAAAATACAACGCAGTTACAGTTCAGATCACTCTCATCGTTACATATTGAATTTACATCTTTTGAGAAAGGAAAGGGTTTATGGAAATTTAACAACAGTTTGTTACATGATCCCGAATATGTGCGAGAAATCCAAGGTATTATTAACGAGACTGTAGATCATTATCACACTCGAGACGAAGATGTAGAAAAAGTACTAAAGAAAAATGAACAATTGTTTTTCGAAGTACTCTTGTGCAATATTCGAGGCCACACAACAAAATATTCATCCCAGAAAAAGAAAGAAAGACTAAAATTAGAAGAAGAATACAATGAAACACTTGAAAGTCTTGAAGTAAAATCAGACAGTACTGACAGTGAACAGACTAAGTCAAAATTGATACAAGAATTAATATAATTCAAGATCAGCACTTTGAATTAAATAAATACAAAACAGAAGGGATTATATTGAGATCAAAAGCAAAATGGTATGAAAAAGGAGTAAAACCAACAAAATTCTTCTTATCTCAGGAAAAACAGAATTTCTTTCCATCTGGTTTTACAGCTGAATTCTATAAACTATTTTGGAAAGACATCAATAAATACCTAATCAATTCATTAAATGAAGCATATAGGAAGGGTGAGCTATCTATAAGTCAAAAGCAAGGGCCCATAACATGTATCCCCCAAAGAGATAAATCTAAGGAACATCTGAAGAATTTCAGACCCATTTCACTATTAAACATATCATATAAACTAGCCTCAGCCGTGATATCAGCACGTATTAGAAACATACTTCCTAATATAATAAGTGAAGACCAAAAGGGATTTATGAAAGGCAGATACATTGGAGAATGTACAAGACTGGTTAATTACATTATTGATTACACAGAATATACGAATAAACCAGGACTATTGATACTTATAGACTTCGAAAAAGCATTCGATTCGGTGGAATGGTCCTTTATCGAGAAATGTCTTGACTTCTTTAATTTCGGACCATCTATCAAAATTTGGCTAAATACATTCTACAATAGCATAAACTCTAGTGTTCTTGTAAACGGGTTTCCATCAGAATTCTTTCAAATTACACGGGGTTGTAGACAAGGTGATCCCCTCTCGCCGTATATATTCCTCATAGTAGCAGAAATCTTGGCCCACATGTTACGACAAAACAAAAAGATGAAAGGAATCATGATGAGTGATTTAGAATACCTACTAACTCAATTTGCCGATGATACAACTATAATATTAGACTGGTCTGAGCGCTCATTTAGGGAAACATTACAAGTACTTGAAACATACGCATCCTTCTCTGGACTTGATATAAATATTGACAAAACTAAAGCTATTTGGATAGGTTCAAAACAATATTCAAGTTTGCAATACTGCAGAGAATACAACTTTGACTGGACTCAAAAGCAATTTGTAATCTTAGGCATTCTATATCAACATAATAAAGCAGAAATGGTGGAAAAGAATTATAAATATAAAATAAAAAACAATTGACAAAGTAATGAAAATGTGGACTCTGAGAGACCTTACACCTTTAGGATGAATAACTATTCTAAAAAGCTTGATTTTACCAACACTTAATCATCTTTTCTCCTCGATAGCAAACCTTAAATTAGAGGTGAGGTGAGGTGAAATTGGGTTTTACGTCTTGCTTGAGAATATTTCGCTCATATGACGACGTGCATGCGTGTGTATGTGTATGTGCGGCTGCTTGTCCTAGCCCAGACTTAAGCTGGTTTTATAGTGCTAGCTCACTGAGATACCATGCCGCAGTGAAGCATGAATACCCCACTCAGACACATTATACTGACTCCGAGCCGACCAGTTCTTGTTGTACCCATTAATGCCGAGCGCCAGGCAGGGACCAACAAGTACCATATTTTAACGTCTTTTGGTATGACGCGGTCAGGGATCGAACCCGCGACCTTCCGCTCTCCGGGCGGACGCTCTAACCACTACACCACGGAGGCGGTCCCCTAAATTAGAAACGATCGTGAACCTTCAAAAGAAATGTTTCTCCTTTATTTGGAAAGGTAAACCTGATAGAATAAAACGATGTCTGATAACAAAAAACATACCAAGAAGGTGGTCTAAAAGTACCAGCTATACTTGAAACAATTAAGTCCCAGAAAATATCATGGATCAGAAGATTATTCGTACATAATTCAAAATTAAATAATCTTTTATATACTTCACAACCAGTGAGCAAACTAAACCCCATAGAAATGGGGCCATTGTATCTGAAGACACATTATATTCCAAAACTCAGAAGCCCATTCTGGAAAGACGTATTTGAAGCCTGGTCTGAATTACAAGGACAAAGTAAATATGATAATGACCATCTCAGCAGACAGTACATATGGGCAAATGATAAGATAACAATAGGGAGAAAACCAGTAGTATATGACCACTACCTACAGTCAAATGTAAAATTTATAAATGATTTCTTAAAAGATGACAATACATTAAATGTGCATGATATGCTGTACCCAGATCAAAAAGAAATCAAGTGATAAATAAAAGGTTGCCCATTTCAGTCTCTGTTTACGACCAATAAAGGTGTTGCTGTGGACGCATTCTATAGAGGGTCCATAGGGGACCATCTGGTTGAGTATATTTATCAGTTGCCATGCAATGTATCTATTCAAACTGATAAGTGTTGATTCCCAAGCTGTAAATAAAAATAAACCGTCCGTAAAGCCAGCAATCAGTAAAAAATGTGATATAACTTTACAATGGTACTCTAACAGTATCAAGAGTTTATTTTCTATCCTATCGTTTGATTGGGTATAGTCCATGGGGATGATATGTATCAGTTACTGCAGCAACACATCATTAATTATTAATACGAATAAACAAGGAACTTTTGTCCTGTTGTCACTGTATCCTATGGAATCCAAGAAGGGACATTGTCGCGTTGTCGCATTGTCGCCCTCTCAAAACAAGTAAAATGAGGCAAAATAAACCAAAAACGCAACACGCGACATCGCGACAACGCGACAATGTCCCTTCCAGGATTCCATAGTATCCTGTTCAGAGAAACACATACTGCTTAATGTAACGATAGCACTGCATTGAGACATTCGCACGAAAACAAATATACACAATGAGGTGTCTCTTTACTTTAAAACCATGTACCTATTTATAAAGTGTGGCCATTGTTGACGCTGCTGTTGGTCTACTGTCGTATGTCCTCCAGTCAACGCAGGCGTTGTGGTAGCCTAGTGGTCAAAGCGTTCGCTCGTCACGCAGAAGACCCGGGTTCGATTCCCCACATGGGTACAATGTGTGAAGCCCATTTCTGGTGTCCCCGCCGTGATATTGCTGGAATATTGCTAAAAGGGACGTAAAACTGAACTCACTCACTGCAGTCAACACAAAACAGAGAAAAGTGCATTCGTGAAGTCAGTTGCCACATTCGAGATAACAGAATTACCTATAGAAAGTTATCTTGGGAAAGCGCTGTATTGTTCTACATACCGTTAACTTTATCGAAGTACCCACTGTCTGTTTCCATGTACAATAGAAATGTAACATATTCATATTCATATAAGCAGGATAGTGCTGTGTGACACACTTGAAGACTGGATTTATCAGAATGGTTGTTGGACTTTCGTAGTTTAATGCAAGCTGGGCGCTTAATGTGAGTGTCCAAATTGCAAATGTGGCGACACATACATCGGTGAAACCCTCAGACCCCTCAACACAAAGAACACCAAACGTCAGTCTAAAAACTCGAAATGAAATCCGCCATTTCTGAACACATCAACAAGAACCAAGGCCTGGCCATCATGTAGGAATGCAAGAAAGTCCTATCCGGCACCAACAAGAACTTGCCTCATTGGAATACACAAGAGGCCACAGACATCAGGAGATCCCAACCGGCAATCAACAGTGACCAGGGAACATATCTGCCTAGCGCTTGGGAATTGTTAGTTTAATTATCAGTGCTTGGTTCCATGTCCTTATGTTTATCACTAAATAGGCCTGGATCAATTCCTGTCTTCCTTTTGTTTATTGTCATTTACCGTGTTAAATGCCACCATTGTTATCTCATCATTTATGCCGGGATTAATGGTCCTTACCAATCTAGCGCTATTTAACCATCTGTCTTTGTTCTTATCTTATCACTGTTGTTGTTTCACATGCACTTGTATAGATATCTTTATCCTAGTTTTTCATTGACCTGTTAAAGGAGTACGAATATACCCCGACACGTCGTGTTCTCAAAATAAAGAAGTTGACATCAATAAAGTCTTGCCTTTATGTGCAACACTTCTAAATGCCGTACACAGACTCTGTTCTAACCTTTTGACAGTATTTCAGACGGGCAGGGTCCGGGTTAGAACTGACCATCAAGAACGTCTGTCGTACGATGTGAGCAACCGACTGAGTAAAATTATCTGTATCCCTGTTGCATAGACCGAGTATCATGGTGTCTATCAGTGGATTGTCTGGTCCTAACTTGATTTTATTATCACAAGTGCACTTTAATGAGTATTTTACTTTTATGATTACGTGTCAGTTTCATGTGAGAGAAAATCCCGTCAAATATATACTACTCACAATTTGATAGGGATCATAGAAAGTTTGATGAACATATGCAAGCAAGTTACTGCCGTTGATGAACGACAAATTGTTAAACGGCAGTGCCATTTACACATTTGCACATGCATTTCATGACATTGATGAGCATGCAGCCTCACTATTCTTGCTTTGATGTAAACGTCACGTTGTCAGCTCACACTTGTGTGTGGATTGTTGATGAAGGCTTTTGACATTTCCATACGTTTGTCATTACATTTAACACTAATGTCTCCTAAACGTCAAAGACGACGTTTGATGTCAGAGCAATAGGGGAGATGCATCGGCATGCTTGAATCAGGCTTCTCACAACGGAATCTAAGCACGCCGTCATGGCGGTGGTCGTCAAAGGTCGACTACTCAACGACAAGTCCACTTAATCACCGTTTAGGCACAACGTCATCCTTTCTGGACAGCCACCAGTCTCCGAAATGACCTCCTTAACGCCTCGGGCGTTAACTTATCCACCCAGACATTACGGAATCGTCTTCATGCAGCTGGCCTCAACACCAGGAGGGCATATGTTCGCATCCCACTGACCGTACGTCACAGGCGGGAACGTTTGATTTGGGCTCATGATCGTGTCACTTGGACACATAACGACTGGGTACCAATTCTCTGTACTGATGAGTCACGGTATTGTTTGGAGTTTACTAACAGAAGGCAACGGGTGTGAAGAAGAGAAAGTGAAAGGTTGAACGATGCTAACATCAGCGAACACGATCGTTATGGGGGAGGATCCATCACGGACTGGGGATTAAAAAAACAGTCATTGCAAACCTGTCCATTACTTTTCAGGAATGGACGGATGCTCGGACTTTCTCCTATACGGAATCAGCAGAAGCGGGAAAACTGATCAGCATGTGATGGGAGGGGCACGATGACAGTTGTTCGGTACAGGGATGAAATCTTCAATGTGTACGTGGGACCCTTCACTGGTGCCGTTGGACCATAACGCCCGTCCCTATCGTGCTACGGTGGTGGACCAGTTTCTGGAACAGGAAACAACTGTCCGTATGGAATGGCCCGAGGGCTCGCCGGAAGTAAACCCAATTGAACATGTGTGGA